TAGTATCAATCTTATTGATGTAATTCTAATAGATGTGCCTGCCTTTTAAAAAAAATCAAGTGATTTATTGCTTACAGCGGCAGGCCTACTAACATTGTTCAGCCCTAGTTAAAATAATCGTCCGAAAGTTAATAATAATAAAAAAATCAGCTTCATTGTAAAAACTGGTATCGGAATCGGCCACGGACCAAACTAATCAATCGTCCTCTCATTTTTAGCATGAAAAACACAACTTTCCATCTGAGATGCATCAACTTATTTCCTGTCACCTCCTCCTCCAGCGTGCTGCAGGAGGTGCGGGCGCAGTTCAACCCCGAGGCGATGGTGATGCAGCTGGGTGCCGACACCATGGCGGGCGATCCCATGTGCTCCTTCAACATGACCCCCGTGGGGGTGGGCAAATGTCTGCAGTATGTCCTGCACTGGCAGCTCCCTACRCTGCTGCTGGGAGGAGGTACTCCTGTAATTGTGTGTTTATTATTCTGTTCCGATGCTGTGTTTGTCTGCGAGACGAACGTGCGTGTGTTACGCGTTTGTTTATCAGCTTATATACAGATGCTGAATGTCAGTAGTTCAATATATCTTTGGTGTGTGTGAATTTTCTTTGAGTTTCAGTACACACACACACAGTCTCTCGCACACACAGCACCCTGTTCCAGACTCCTCAGCCCTCAGCCAGATGATAGCTGCTAATTATATGACACAATGAAGCCATTTTACTCAACTACAATCCGACCTCTCTTCAATTCTCTCCCTCCCTCCTTGTCCTACATACTTTCTCTCTGGGCTATGTCCTCCTCTCCCTCTCATTTTTTTTAGTCATTCTCTTGACTTCACTCGAGTCCACCCTCTTCATTCTTGACTCTCTCTAAGTTTGATGTGTGTCAAAGACGTTTAAGAAGGTCTTTACCTAAAATGGAATCTCCTGCTGCACCTCATCAGTCTGGTTCTTTTCATTTCTATTACAACTGACTAGTTTCAAAGTCTCCCATGAACTTTGCAGCATCAACGTTGCGCTAAACCATCTGTTTATGTCTCATCAGGAGGTTACAACTTGGCTAATACGGCTCGCTGTTGGACGTACCTGACAGGAGTGGTGCTGGGAAAGACTCTGTCCTCTGAGATACCCGACCACGAGGTACGATACAAACCGCTCAGTAACTCAAATGTACTCGTTCACTATACTGTCACACATGAAAACTTCCCATCAAATCAAAAATGCCCATTGTCTCAATAGAGGCTTGTCCTCAGGTGAGTCAGACAAGTACGTGTGATGCTTTAGCTTTCATATTAGGAAAAAAAGGTCAGTGTAAGGGTTAGGGGTGTAAGAAAATATCGACACACAGAAATATCGCGATATTTCATTTCCCAATACTGTATCGATATTCTAAAGCCCTGTATCGATTTTTAATTAAGGTTTAAAATGTCAACCTTCTTGCCAAC